AAAGCAGAGCTTGCAACATGATAGCTATTCATAAAGGGTGTTTTTTTACTTTTCATATAATACAGTAGTCACACAATGAGGCAGTTCATATTTGTCTCAGTGAATCATTAATTTTTTACAGACACCTGTACAAAATACTTGGACTAAAGCCAGCTAAAATTTTCTGTTATCTTGCATGTTTTATGAATCTATTCACATCTAAATGCAGCACTTTTTTTTTGCAATGAGAATGAGACATTTGTTTTTATACTAAAATATCTGAATTACTTTGAATAAAGCTGGAAATTATGTCCCTTAAAATAATTAAACAAATAAGACACCAATGTTTTTGTAAGATATTTACATCTTTTAAGGACATTCGGTAGACTGATTCCCCACTGTTGTTTCAACCCCAAAACTTGTTTGTATTCAAAATTAATTATGACAATGCATATTTATATTGAAACAAACTATGATAAAGGGAATTATATTATATAACAAAGGGCAAGGTCACCAGAGTTCAACTATGTTTTAAAAAAATGTATTGACGTGTCAGAATAAAAAAATGAGTTGATGCTGCGATAAGACGTCACCGCTGCCGGCTTCGGCACTAAAGTGAACCTGAAATGTCCCGATGTGTTAATAGGCTTCTACTGGATTAGTCCGAACCATATGGGTTCACCTCTTTCACGAATAACCGCCTCTAACCATACAGCATATTTCGAGTAGTGAAACAATAAGCTGTCGAGAAAAATACACGACGATAATTTAATGCGACTGTACATATCACAGATCTGGAATGAGAAACACGCCTTCTTCATTTTAGTTTCTTTTACAGACGGGATGGCATCACCGGGAGAGACGAAACCATCGAGATTAATATACAGTAAACAGTCTTTGATCATTTTGACGGGATTGCTTTTTGTGGTAACCATATTGTTAGCAGCATCTGCAGGTATGTGTTTTCTCATCTAAGTAATACATTGACAATCTACCGAGTATTGAGGAACCTCCATCTTTGTAAGAAACGCTTTTGCTTGAATGAACCAATAGACGACTTGTTGGTTTCGACATCACGTGGTATTTTCGCCCAAGTACGTTATATTATACTACCGCGTCATTTGTAGTCAGCCTTGTTCAATAATCACGAAAATTGTCATCCCAAATGGCTGGCTATCACACTATGGCGTAGCTGGAAGTAAATTAATTATTTTTCATTCGTTTTTATGCTCGGGATATCGACTGTACACATAACTACCTAACTGCGAACGAGCCTACAATCACTGACAGAATCCCATGGATTATCTAGCGCACTGGGAACCAAACTTTAATTTACATTGAAGCGGCGATATGGATAATTGTTAGCACGTTCTTTATTAATATTGTTGTGCCGATCACAATTTGTTTGTATAATATATCACATTATGTTCGTTGAAATGATGACCTTGCGTTATGAATTATTGGTGCGTACTAATAATTCGAATTCCATGCGCGATTGTAATTCATTTAATTGACCCTAACTTTGGGGTCATTGACACTGACGTCACCGGGAATTAAATCACATGACTGCTAAATACACTGTAAAGAAAGAGCATTTTTTAGTATATTATTATATCACAACTTTCAATCTTAACAATTATTTGTGTTGTTTATACTATTTTCAAACTATTTTGGTCCGTTTGTCTTTCAGGAAACCTAACGCGACCCTTTCCGTCAACATTCCATCCCAAGTATTTGCAAGATTCCGTAGAAAATGTCACGTCGTACAATTTGCCATGGAAACAAACCCATGCCGTTAACAGCTCGACCGAGTTATTCCGCGACAAAATTCAAAAGCATAGGATAGCCGTCCTAAGGAAAGGGTGTGCCGATGCAAGACAGAATGGCGTAACGTTTAAACTGGGTGGGAAATCACCCATTTACAATGACAACTACCGGTTTATATTTAGCGCTGTTCCAAAAGTCGCCACTACCAGCTGGAAACGTGTATTTCTCGTGTTACAAGGACAAGTAAACTCCACAGATTCGTTGCATCACAAGGCTGTTCAGCATAAGTTCCACTACCCGAAACTATCATCACTCTCAACTCCCGAGGCAAATGTCAGAGTGAATACATACACGAAGGTACTCTTTGTAAGAGAACCATTTCATAGAATACTATCTGCATATCGTAACAAATTAGAAAACATTGACAACTCTAGATTTCGGCGAAAATACGGAACATCCATCATTGCAAAATATCGCAAAAACCCGTCCTTGTCTTCATTGAAAACGGGCTCTGACGTCACATTTCTAGAATTTGTCAAATATTTAGCGGATCCACAAACACGTTTTCAGGATATGGACATGCATTGGACTCCGATATTTGTAATCGGTAGAGCGTGTAATATGAATTACGACATTATTGGTAAGTTCGAAAAACTACAAGAAGACGCCCTCTACGTTTTAGAAAAAATTAATGCTCGTCACGTGGTTACGTTTCCATCATATGACACTCACGTGACTAACAGTTCTCACGACGACACGTATTCGAAGTACTACTCAACTGTTCCCGAGGAACTACTTTCTCGTTTATATAAAAAATATGAACTTGATTTTACACTTTTTGACTATGATAAGCCGCAGATAATCGAACAAGACCGAGTGAACACATGAAATAGAATGAATATGAACAAACTAACATGTTGCACGCATTCATTTGACATTTGAGTATTGATGAAACCCGAATATTTATTGTCAATTCTAATGTAAAACTCTTATTTACACGATATTCAGTTCGCAACCAACTTTATGTGGTTGGAACGTACTCAGGAAACGGACTGTTATTTGAATTAGCAGATGTACACAGCGTGCTCGCCAAATGCAATCAATCCATTTCACTTGTTTTATTTATTTTTTCGGGAAACTTGTATTGTGTCACCCACTGAGCAATAGACTCGCCGATCAAGTCAGTTATGTGACCCTCAGATAATATTTATCTGATTAGGTTCGACCATTTGGTCAAACTCGGTCGAACCAGAATTTAAGCATATTCCACTGATCGATACTGTACTGATTTGTACTTCATCTCATCACCAGTAATACACAATGTCTGGTACAATAATTATGTATCAATAAACTTTCATTTCCGTTATTATTACGTAACATACCTTTGTCCACGTTTATGCACATCGACGGTTGTCACTTCGCATATTTTTGACAAATACGTTTTTAAGAAAATAAAAGTAATTTGCAATACTTGTCGACAGATGGCGCTAGTCAGCCTATCCTATTTTCACTTGCAGCATTGGAGCACACTGGATAGAAGTAAATATTCAGACGTGACATTTTGTTGAAAACAATCATTTTTTTCCACGAATCGTATTTTGAATGTGAACATATATACACATAAAATACACAATATTGCGCTTTATTGCAAGATATCCATATCCCGCACGCATGTGTAATAATTGCACATAAAAACCGCTTGTAGGAATCGCATTTTGAAAATAGTGAAATAAAATGATTGCACGTAAAAATCGAAGCTACAAAAATAAATATCCTAAAATGTTATTTTTGGCATGGATGCCGCGTCATAGTTGCATTTAAAGAGATGATTGTTTGAATGGTATATATGCGAGTGAAAATTGATCTTGTTTCAAATGTATTGTGTTTTATATACTAGTATTGCAACCAGTGTATGATATTGAGTAGCGGCCGTCTGCAGTTTGAAGCTTGAAATGCCCAATGTAGAGGCCTGGGGTTACCTTTCTCGTTGTCGAGTATTATGAGAATGCTTTGGTTGACAAATTCAATGGAACTCTTAAATATATGCATGTGAAATTAATCCTCGCTGATTAACAGGGACTACTTACTCGCTGCCTGAATTATTCCCGATGGAATTGCGATATTCTCAGTCCACAGCCACGAGTGTAAATGCAACTGTTTCTTTAGCGGAGTCAATTCATGATAAATTATCTCGATTCATCCTCCCTTTATATCCAACTATGGATTCTGGTGGTGAAGTGAGCAGTCTATCACAAGTGTTTAAAGGGGAACTAAATAGAGCCTATTTTGGTGTTTGTATTTATCAAGTTATGTATATTGATTATAAATTTGAAAAAAATAAATAAAAAAATGATTATCTTCAGAGTTATGATGATTTAAATATGAGAAACCATAAACCTGCGAAGGACTTCCGTTTGCGCCATCTTGCCATAAAAAAACGCCCTCATGAGGTATAAACAGGTAAGGTAACAAAGCATGATGACGAAATAGTATCTGATTAAATATAAGCAACTTAGGAAGCCATAGCTGGCTGGACTGGTGAATTGACTTCTAGTCTAGGTTGTTTCGACTTTTACGTTAATGTTATTTACAAGCATATCAACATACAAACATTATTTTGTTTTGTTTTTTGTCTAACTGTCTAATAAATGCTGTTTCCAGTACTGCACTGTGCGGCGTGCAAATTATTCAAAGTATGGATGCTGGAGTATGCAATCTTGAGTTCGTAGGGTGGTGGTGGAAACATTTTCGTCCATGTATTCACGGGGCTGCACTGGCAAATCATGGGACAAGTGTCACAGGAACACCAAGCAGATTGTTCACAGACTTCCGTGTAATTTGAAATAAAACTTTCATCCGAACAAGGGGCATCGTCGACGTTATACTCTCATCACTCACACTGGACTGATCTGAATCGTCACAATATACCGTACTTCCCTGATCATAAGCCCGGAGACATGAACACGTAAAGGAAAAGTAAGGGATGAGCTTGTACTCGAAGACCAACTCAGAAAAAAAATGATTTTGTTTTGGGGTTAAACACTGTAAACAACGAAAAAATATCCCCAAAAAATATTCGTTCACCACGCCGGGCTCGGAAAAATAATACTTATTTTTGAAAAAAAAAATGCGTCATTGATTTGAACGATACTTACAATGAAGAAACAAACATGTTCATAAAAAACACACACACTTTATTACAATACGATTTACATACCTTCTGAATTTACGGTGAAATAATGGGTAGGGTCTGTGAGGAAACAGTGGACGAAGGCATTTTTCATTATCTTCGTTTTGGTATGTTTTCGATCGTACGCAAACTCTCGACGCAAAACAATTTTCCACTATGAGGTTTTTCAGCACGATTTGACCTGGAAACTTCCTTTGACATAACAGTCATGTCTTTCATTAACCAATCAAAATGATGTGTCGTATGATGAATTTTCCGATTATTGACGATGATTTTTTAGCGCATGCGGAGTGAATTACCGCAATGTTAAATGCGATCTGTAGCACTGATGCACGAAAAACGATGATTTTTCCCTAA